CCGGTATATAAATTGGATATATGTTATTGCAAAATGTTTGTGGCCTGATATTCGACAAACGGTACGTCAAAACGCAACAATTGTTGATTTGCAATATCTCAAACGGCATTGTTTTCACACTTGTTCAAAAATGTCACGGAGTGAAGCAAAATGCACGTGCAAGTTATGACATTCGTAACTCTTGGTAGTGGCTATAGAAAAGTAAGCATAAGCCAATAATTAGTCATTCAATTGTCAATATATTTCAAGTTCGAAAATGCCGATCGGAACATCGCCATAGAACGTATCCAAAGAGGGGAATCGCAGTCTTCTGTTGCACGCAACTTCAACGTCCACAACAGCACCATTTGCCGCCTTTGGGACCGATACACAGAGTTCAATTCCACTGCAGACCGTCCGAGAACCTGCCGACAAAGAGATATCACCCTTGCACAGGATCGCTACATTCGACTGTTCCACCTACGTCAGTCATCGCAATGCCACAGCTTTGGAGGCTGCGGAACGTATCCCTTGTTTGAGGAGGATATCGGACCAGGCTGTCAGGAACCATCTTCGCGAGGCTGGAATCCGAACCAGAAAACCTGTTTCGCCACAGATCCATCGGCAGCGACGCTTGCGTTGGTGCGATACCTTTACAGCCTTGGAATTTGTGAAACTGGAGACGAGTGTGGTTTAGCTATGAATCATGATTGCTTCTTCAACGGCGAGATGGAAGACAACTTGTTTATCGTCGTCGAAATGAGCATTTTGCCCCACATTGTGTACGTGAATTCGACAATTTCGGTGGCGGTAGTGTCATTGTTTAAGGGGCCATATCCTACACCAGTTTGCTGATAGATTGATATACATCCGCGTCTGCATCAACCTTGGTCATACCTTGTTAAATTGCTCCAAGGGACGCATAACTTAAAAAATTCCAAAAGAAGCAATGCCACTGACATTCCTTGGTTTGACTGGTTTGATATAAATGTGACATTATTCTGTGTTGAATGTCTACCATTTAATATCTAGTATTTAGCAAAAGATATTTAGGCAATACATTGTTTACCACAAACTCAAGGGAGAAAATCAACTCTCTCTATAAAGGGGCTGTCGCAATGTCCAATAGCAAAGCTTTTGTGTTTGTACTCAAACACTTGAGATAAAAAAAAGTGTCATAAAATCCTTCACACCATGCAGATGAATCATCTTGGGGTAAATAACACACATATATATAAGTGATTCTATTTGTCGTAATGTGTCATAGTGCTTGTTTGTTTGTTGTTTAACGCCACACTCAGCAATATTACTGCTATATAAAGGCGTGACATCCCAGCTAACACATAACATTTTCAAACCATTTTCAAAAGGTTTCATTGTAGTTTTTCAAAAACATTTTCGTCAAAACATTTTATTAACTTTTTAGAATTTTTTAACAACTATTCAAAATGTTATTGAAATGTTTTCAACATGTTATTCAAGAACATCATGTTATAGCACAGGCCAAACTTTTTCATAACATGTTATTACAATGTTTTGAACACGTTGTAGAAATGTTTTGCCAAAACATATTTAATGAGTGTTATCATGTTTTTAACACATTGTGCAAAAAAAGAAACGCACAGGTAGATTTTCAGTAAATTTATTGTACCTAATAAAGTCGAGTTTACGCGGATGTCTATCATGATAAGATTGTAACATTGACTGAATTATGCTATTGATAAACTGGAAACGTCTGGAAATGAGCATGGAGATAATCAGTGACGAAATGCAACAAACTTCCCATGATTGGAGTGAATGCAAAAAAGAGAGGAAGAGGAGACACCCTTGGTTCACCGATCAGATATCAAGAAAATTGAATGATATGTGTAAGGTTGAAAAGACACGGTGTAGAAGGTCGATGCAGTATAAACGGTAGTTAAAGCATATGTTCATAACATTGAGAAAAGACTTTGACAAATTTGTGCAATGAGAGAAAAGTGAACATAAAAGTAAAATTCATAAACAACATTAAGTTATTTGCGAATAGAATGACGGGGACTTTTGGAAGAAAGTTGGAAAAATGGGAGTCGGGAATTAAAGGGAGAAATTAATTTCATGGTACCATATCTGGAGATAAGGAACATGCCCTGGAAAAATGGAAAACATGTTATGATTGTCTGTTGATTGATGAGAGAGAAACTTAGGATACCGAATGGGTGACGTCAGCTAATGAGGATATACCACATGATTCCTGCAACAAAGACATCACTCTGGAAGAAGAGTAGAACGTAAAGTAGAAAAGCACAAGGTGTTGAAGGAACACCTGCACAACTAGAGAACGATCAATTAAAATCTTTCATAGAATTTGTAATGACTTCTTTTGAACTTCACGCATACCAGCCATGTTGTCGGAAGGCATTATAATTACAACCCTGAAAGACTTGTCCAGTAACAAGAGGGAGCACCTTGCATCTGGAGGCATTACCTTAACACCTGTCATCTCTATGGTTTACTGTTGTGTACTTAACTCCCGTCTATGGGCAGAGAATGATGTTCTTGATGACGAGCAGGACGGTTTCAGATGAAGCAGGTGGACATTCGATCACAAAACAAGGAGAGAAGAGAAAGTTAACAAGAAATCCAACGTTTACTTAACTGCCCCTAATTCTATGGACACAGAAACGTGAAATTTAGATGTGGGGTGGCTCCTTCTTGCGTAGACAGGACGACATGACGTACGCGTTTTACCGTATGAGCACAGATTTTGTTTTAATTGCCCACAAACAGTCGAAGATGAGAAGCATGTTCTTATGTTTTGTCTTTATAAGGAGAAATTGGCAAACTTTATTTTTTGTGCAATGAAAAGTTTTTATGTATACTATTCAACCTTGACCTTACCTGTTACGCTTCAAAAGACTGCAATGATGTTATAAGCAAAGGACGTTAACTTTTGTATCAAAATATGTGTGTGTGTGTGTGTGTGTGTGTGTGTGCGTGCGTGTGTACATGTTTAGTCTTTCCGATGTATTTCTGTCGTATATCGCTGGGCGATTGGTCGTAGTTAGTTTTATTGTGTGTACAAATATATGTTATACATGTCTACCAGGAGTGAGACACTAAGAATAGAGAAATAAAATCTTGTCTGTCTGTATGCCTGTCTGTCTGTCTGACTACTGTGTTATGCGGGGGACCTACCTCTCTGAATAGGAAACACACACACTCGTCTCCATATGTTTAGGAAGATTTTATTTCGAGAGATTTCAGTGTTTTCGTGAAAGAGCTGGCATCGTTTGTAAATTGTTCTGGGCTCCATTTGAATTAATTGTTTTATTTTGTTGATATATATATCTGGAGGATCTACTAAACTATATCACATTGTTAAAGAGAAAGACAAATATGACATTGGATTACATCACACTAACAACTGACTTGCTGCCTTAGATGTATCTAACTGTATACGGAACAGAGTGAATGTGAGTTAAATTTAATGTCACATCGGCAATTTTTTAGCCATATCGTGACGAGAGAAAGGCATACATTAATAATGCATATAGAAGACTGTTGAAAAACACCTGTTGTCGAAGGAAGAAGGTAAACTAGATTATAACAGATTTCACAAAAAACTAGCCTGAGAATCTTTGAAAGAATAAATCATTATTTCACAATATAAATATATAAACGGCAAAAGAAGGGCAACCTAAGTTAGGCCACCATATTTGGGACCGTGGAGACTTCCTTATAAGGATTTACACCGCCCCTTCAGCTGATGGCGATGGTACGCAATTTAGCCATCAATACAAAATCTCAAATACACAACGATTAAAACTTGTAGGAATATAGTACTTTGAATAATGTCTTACATGATCTTTCCAGGGGACAATTTGAGGATGCAGCCACTAACAATCTAAGATACAAATAAAACACTACCAATACTCTAAAATTTTACTATCTCCATAATTTCAAAATTTAACAATATCTTTTTTTAATAAACAAAATAATTGGAACTCATATGATGAAAAAGATCCTTTAGGGATCAACTATGAAATATTTATCCCTTGTGATGTAAAAATCACCACAGTTAAGCAGGACTTGATTGACCGTGATTCTTTCATCACAGAACGGAGGATCCTAACCTTTCAGCAAATATTCATGTGTATGACGTAAATGGCCTCGACGACATCGTCGTTAAATGACGTCCTCAAATCTGGACTGACAACCCAAGTAAGTGCAACCGATATTTGGTTTAATTTTAAGTGATTTATTTATTATTTATACATACTTGGGTGTCCCACTTTTTTGCATCAGAATTTTGATGTAACGTCTAATTACAGGTGTATATACACCGGTCAATATCCGGGAATGTCTTCAGCAACCCATGCTTGCCGTAAAAGGCGACTATGCATGTCGTAAGAGGCGACTAACTGGATCGGGTGGTCAGGCTCCCTGTCTTGGTTGATGATGTCATCGTATCCCAATTGCGTAGATTGCCGTCATACAGCTGGAATATTGCTGAGTGTGGCGTTAAACAATAACCAGGGCGGGCAACAAAATGTTTGGGATGATTTCTACATTATCTGTATCGGGTTTGGTGCGTTAATCCAGCTTCTCACGATTTCACTCAAAATTGAGCTGATATATTATGATGTCTGATATATAGTTCACCATTAAGCGTCACAGTGTGTCTGTAGGCCTTAGTTCTTGACAAAATATTTCTTCAATGACAATTGAATTTCTACTACTACTACTACTACTACTACTACTACTACTACTACTACTACTACTACTATCCATCAACAGCCGTAATGCCTTAACTTTCTGTTGACTCGAGTTAGAATAGGTCTTCAACAAACCAAAATTGATCGGGTGTTCAGAATCGTGGTTGATGCATGTCATCGTATCCCAATTGCGTAGATCGATGCTCATCTGGTCCAAATTCGAATATTTAGACCGCCGTAATAAAGCTGGACTATTAACCAGTGCGGCGCTTAACAACAAACAAACAAATAACTTTCTGTTTATTTATTGCCTCATAAAATGGAGATCTAAAAAAACAGAATTAACAGGAGTTTGACAGGGAAGCATATTTCGAATCCAAACAGCAGTGCGTAAAACATATACAGGAATATACAACGAAGTAGTTCGTAGCTTCACATAGACAGTCAGTATCAGTCACACATCAGCAAAACCTCCTTTGACTTTCAGCCATGCTCCAGCTTTGTAATCGCTGCCCTGTAGCGGGCGTCGACAGGCAGTCAACACGTCTTAACTGGAAACAACTCGACGGAAGTGATTTGAATTTTAGGAAGAAATGCGAGGGTACTCATAAGTAATTCAAATCTACAACTGCACCCCTGCCTTGCGTAACGTGTGCTGTGGGCATTCACGCTGGTTTACAGACCATATATTGACCAATAAGAGAGCGTTAGAACATCAGATCTGCTTACTTATTCCATCGTTAAACATTTGGTGGAAGCATTTCTAGCACTCTTGACTGAAATATAACTACCAAGAGAGTTGAATGAATGATATGGATATAAAGTTATGTAATGCTCACTAAAGTGTATGGTTACATTTACTCTTAAAGTGTTTATGTTTTCTTAACTGGATATGAAACTTGTTATATGCATATCATATCTTCCAAGGTAAAGCTTTTGCAGCTTTGCATTTTTGGCCTGTTAAAACCTTTTCTCAGATCTCCAACATGTTCAATTATTCTGATAAATGAAATTCTGATTACGTCACACAATGTTACATTCATTGTTGCATTTTATGAAAAGCACTGTTCAAATGTTGATTCTTTTTCCATATCTGTCTATACTTCCAACCTCAATGTTAAAAGAGAAAGTATTTGAAAAACAATACTGATCGCAAATTTACATAGTTGTTCATATTTTATAATGTTTCTCTTCATGTCAGATGAAACTTTTCTTGAAGACGTCAACTCTAACAAGGAAATTGCTATACCAAATGACACCTCATATAACAGTTTGCGCCACATCTACACTGTGCATGGCCGATGAACAGAGTTAAAGCAAAAGGAATGTAAGCTGTGGAGCATCGTTCGTTCACTTTGGAATTTCATCAATGGCGAATGTATTAGTCAAAGAACACATTCACCAATATTGAGGCGATCAATCGGCATGTGATGTTTGTAATTTGTAACGAACAAAATATGGCACAGTCGTGTGGCCATACCTAATAGATCCAACAACAGTGAGAGTAAAAAGTTGACATCCATGAGGATATTAGATGCTTATTGCCCAGAGTTACAAGAATATCCGACTCGTTGTCTATCAGGTCCTCACATACATTATTAAAACCTAATCTTTTAACACGATTTGAAATAATTATGATATCCTGACACATTAAATGCTGCAATGATCTATCTAAAATAACGTTCCTGGAACAAAACTCCTTCTAAATAGCTTAAAGTTTTACAGATGTATGTCAAGGTTACCCATGGGTAAAAAAACATTGTACAATGCAATGGAAATCTACTTCTGACAGACAAAGTGTATCTCATGCTCGTCTGTACGACTCATAGACTCGTTTATGATGGTGAAACCAGCTTTAGCAACCATCTCTCTTGCCAAAGGTGCTCCCCATGTACACCCAAGAACTGCAGAGTCAGGCTTGCGGTAGCTTTCCGGAATACAGAAGAAAGTGCTTGCCGAGTAGTAGAACATCGCTGAACCATTGGCAATGTTGCCAGTTATGCCTCCCTCTATTCCCACATCAATCATGCTGAAAATACCCCCTGGTTTCAGACACCGGTAAATCTCGTTTAAGGCTTTCTGTGGATATGTTAAGTCATGAATAACTAGACGGGTTAGTATCCAATCAAACCTCTCCTTGTAGGTTTCAGATATGGTTTCAATATTGACTGTATCATAAATAACATTCTGAAGGCCTTGTGTGTTTGCTTCCTTTCTGGCTTGAACCAATGGCTCGCTTGCTACATCAGAACCAAGGAAGGTGCTGTTCTTGAATCGCGAAGCTAATTTGTTTAAAATGATCCCTGTTGCACAGCCAAATTCCGCAACCTTTATCCCGGATTCTGTATTAAAAACAATTTTAGTGAGACATAAGATAGAGACCTTCAGACTGGGCACTCACAAGTAAAATATCAAACACAAATCCTAACATCAACATATAGTCTAGTAGTATCAATGTTAAACCATGTCACGTTAAAACATATCAGTGCAATATACCTGCGTCCATTTTATGCATATATGCCTTCATTTTGTTTCCCTTGTAAAGTAAATATTTAGAAGATAGAACCTCGTGCGAAATGTAACTGTTCAGTGTTTTGTTCAAACATCGCGGATAAATCGTGTATATGGCAATTGTTCATAAACTATTGCATAATTGTGATCTAAGTTTGTCGTGGACGCAGGAATCGTTGTATTGTGCTTCAACTCTTCTATTCCATTTACCCACCTAATTTTGGCAGCACCAGAGGAACGGCAGACAGGATGTCTGTATCAATCATATCTTTCTTGACTATGACCAAAACGTCTGACAATGTTTCAAAAAGCACAGGGGTTTGACTGTAGACCATTTCTGTAAATAAGAGAAGTATCATAAGAAAAACATACCAACACCAACACCAACACAAACGAGAGAAGGCTTGAGGTACGCAAGATCACTTCTTCACAGTGTATGCCCTTCAAAATCACGCGCAGAGATAAAAGGTGAAAGTATGTATGAATTTGCACAGTAGTACAAATAGTGATGATACCAAGTGTTCGCGAAAATGTAGCCGCATCCTCCGCTACCAGTGACATCCATCACAAACACATGCAAAGGCAAGTCAATTGTTCACCTGACCCGTGAAGATCCGGGTAGGAATAGGTCTTCAGCAACCCATGCTTGCCGTAAAAGGCGATATAGCTTGTAAGGGGCGACTAACGGGATCGGGTGGTCAGGCTCGCTGACTTGGTTGATGCATGTCTTCGTATCCCAATTGCGTGATCGATACTCATTATATCAATCACTGAATTGTCTGGTCCGCACTCGATTATTTTCAGACTGCCGCCATATAGCTGGAATTTTGCTGAGTGCGGCGTTAAACAACACATAACAACAATTGTTCACCTGAAATAGCACATGGAATAAGGCTAATAGGGATTGTCACTGTGCTAAATTTAGAAATGTCCTCCAAATAAAATAACACATTTTTAAAGCTTTACTAAGGCCATGAATGTGGTACTCCCAATCAAAGAACTTCTGAGCATGATAACCTTATGGCGTATTTTTAAAGAACGAGCATACTCGATTGTAGCTCAAAAGTTGCGAAATGTGGACACCAAACTTTGAGGCTGGAACTACTGGAATGTTGCTCGACATGAAGAAAAGGTTCAATATAAAACGTCAACGCCAGAGAACAATTAGTCTACATGTAGCTTATCCGTTGAAGCAAATTCAGTTGGGCGTACAAACGAAATTGTAATGAAAATTATATGCATCGACCAGTGAAAATGGTTTTGTAGAGGTTTCTCTGTCACTCTGAATGCTTGTGACGAAATATGAAACAAATGAGACTGTTCTTTTGGCCTCTTTGTATTTCTAGATCAAATGGGCCAACTTCAGATGACATTTGCTTTAATTTTTGACCAACTGCCCTGAACTCTTGAAACAAGAGGTCTAACAACAAACAAATGCCACATGGATGAACAAATGTTTTTTTTCTTGTTGAAACTTCGCTTTGACAACGGAAAGCTGCCCGAAAACAATTAACACGGAATTTTGACACTGTTTTCGTCCAAGATACATGCTACATATTTTCTTCCCCCTTTTCTTGATATCACATTAAAAATTGTTGTTTCAATTCAAACATATAGGTCGTTTTTCACGATGATTTATTTAAGAAAATGGTTCAATGATTTAACGGATTTAACAGAACGCTACTTTGGGAGTACACATCTATGAAATTAAGAGGTGCACTGTGATTTGTTTCAACCTCGAGCGACAAGTGAAGGGAATTAGAGACACGACTGTAACTGAAACTGGTCATTTGCCATTTTTAACAAGAAAAGGAGGACACAGAAATTAACCTAATAAGTAATATACCATCTTTCCTTCAGATTATGATTAAACGGTGTTTTTGAATTGAATTGAATAAGGAAGATCATGATTATATGGAGAATATGTCAATGAGTGATCCTTGGTTATTTGTTATTATTATTATTATTATTATAATTGTCGTACTTTTTATTCTAAGATTACCTTTGTAACAACAGTTACACTTATTTCATAAAGTTGAATCACTTTATTCATGATGGATAACTTATGATCAATACAACTTCAAAACATAAATACCCTGTTCTTCATGATCAATACCATGTCTGATTCCTCATGGGAAGAACTGATATGTCTGTCGATAGGAAACTCTACTTAAACGTAACTGTGTTTCTACATGTTCACTCTCAACAGGCTTAAACTCATGTCGAGAAATAGGAATGAAAATAACTGTCAATGCATCATATTGATGAAATTTTTTTTTGCATATGAATGTACAATGTCCATACCACCAGGGTTCCGTTGTTGAGCACATTCCTTGATACTGGCATGTCTCAAACCAAACTGTGGCAAAAATCTGGAAAACACAGATATTGCATTGAATGTGCCCTTGCGGTCATCTGGAACATAGAACTGGGTGGAGGAGTCGTCCACACTGATGACCTCCCCGACAGCGAGTGAACCCAGGATCTCACGCACATACCTGTGGAAATAAATAATAATTATTAAAACATTTATTTATCACAAACGTGCTCAAAGCTCATACTGATTCGAGGGCTGGTCAAAAGATTCTGAGCCTGACTAACTTTCAACTATGGGCAATAACAAAGTGATCTAGTCAATGTAGTACATTGTTTGAGTAGTTCATTGCAAGTGTATTTGGTCTGTTGAGGCCTTTTTTATATTAATGACAGTCAGTTGAACGTGATAGGGGTTCAAATGGACACAGAAATGGGAAAGAACGAGAACCGAGCAGTCATCAAGCTTTTGACTGTAGATACTCCCAGAGAAATTCATGACCGCATATCACAAGTGTATGAGGATAAGTGCTCTACCTATTCTGCAGTTAAACATTGGGCAGATATGTTTAAGGCTGGAAAAACAAGCTCTGATGATTACCCTAGGTCTGGACGTCACTAAACATCCATCAATGAAGAATCAATCAATGGATAAAAAAACCTTATACTGTTAGATACACGTATTACCATTGCTGAACTTGAGGAAGACACAGATCTAAGCCATGAACCAATTGAAACTAGTATTCATAAACATTTACAGATGAATAAAATATCTGCTCGTTGGTTGCCAAAAAAGGTTTCTAAATTCTGATCTAAAGAAAAATGAAATGACATTAACAGAGAAAATTTAGAGCTAATTGTGGAGCATTTCGTCAAATTCCAAAAGAGATTAGTCTACCACTATGATGGCACCATTCCACTTCTCCGGCACCAAAGACATTCAAGTCTTCAAGATCAGTGAAGAAAGTTATGGCCACTGTATTCTTAGATGCAAAAGGTGTGATCCTTGTTAACGACTTAGAAAGTCAAAAGACGATTGCCGGTGCCTACTATGCTGATTTGCTTTCATCGCCTGAGAAATTCTATCAAAGAAAAGCGGCGAGGAAAGCTGACTGCTGGAGTTCTACTACTTCATTACATTGCCACTTCTCACACCTCTCGACTTACAAAGGCTGCTGTGCGACAGTTTGGGTTCAAAGAGCTTCCTCACCCTACAAACTCGCCAACCTGTGATTTCCACCTGTTTTCTAATGTGAAAGAACACCTTCGTGGAAAGCACTATGACGACAACTATGACCTCAAAGCTGCCGTGAATCGTTCTTTTCAGGGTGGTTTCAGAAAACATCTTCCTGATTGGAATTAAAAAGCTTCACTATCGATATGAGAAGCCTATTGAAAAACAGGGAGATTATGTTGAAAAATAAAATTAAAAACACTTCACAATTGTTGGTTTTGTTTGTTAGGCTTACAACATTTGACCAGCACGCGTATATACGTGTTACAATATAAACTCAATAGACTTGACGGTACCCCTCCCATTGGCATGGAGCAATGTCACTTTGTTTGCAGGAGACGTTCGGGGCAGTAACCAGGTTCTTAAACTGTCCCTGACTTCTTGAGTAAAACGTAAATGGCGGCATAACAGAATATGTATGAGATGGGTCCCCTCTATCAATCTATGTCTATCACTATTCTTACCAGTTCGACCCTGCTTCGTCATTTTACGGTATTTACCTTTCTCTAAGGTTCAGCTTGTCAGCCACCTGCTGTGATGTGAGAGGGACTTTGGCTTCCACCAACATCTGCACCACGCCCAACTCCCTTGCCAGGGACAGGTTTAACATGACACCACCGGCGCCAAAATAGTTCATCATTTTCTTGTGGTAGTCCGACATCGTCTCAAGTTTAGTAGTGCTTGCGTTGAGCCTGCCACACATGTGTAACTAGTACAATTCCCACACTATACTAGACCGCCACCTAGTGGTAGAGCGTGCGCCCGGAGAGCGGAAGGTCCGGGGTTCGATCCCCAGCCGCGTCAGAACTTAAAGATGGTACTTGTTGTTACCCTGTCTGGCGCTCGGATTTAAGGGGCTGAAACAAGGACTGGTCGGCGCGGAGTCCGTATACTGTGTATGAGTGGGGTATTTATGTTAAACAGCGGCATGATATCTCAGTGGGCTAGCACTATAAATCGGCATCAATCCGGACTAGTAGAAGCAGCCACACACATACGTGCATGCACGTCGCTATATAAGTGCAATAATCTTGGACGCGACGTTAAACCCTATGTCAGCTCACCTCACCAACACTATATCTATCACAAAATAGGCCTGTTCAAGCAATGTGATTGTTGATCGTAAGTTTGTGGAGCAATTTCATTGTCAATATGTTATGCTTTCAATTGACTGTCGCATGCTGTTCTTACAGTTTAGGACTCGCAGCGTCTCGCAACAAACATCACCGCGCGCAAACACGCAAACAGTTCAATCTTTGCTTAACACAACGTTTTCGCTGACGGGACTATTTGTCCTACTCCTCTTTGATATCCACAAAGACACAATTATAAAACTGTCGTTTCTGTCAAGGCTGTTTCTATCTCACACTTTGCTTCGCTAGCACACAATGTTTTACCAGCCATACTTCACAGACATTCAGTACACGTGTCTAACTCTCACCTGAATTTCTGTCAAATGTAGGTTCACTGTTAAATCAGCCACTAACACAGCACCAGCATACGTCTGTGCGCTACACGGTGCTCTCAATTTGGGTCAAGAGGGTCAAGTCTCCCAGACGAGGTCGCATTAAGTTACAATAATACATATGTAATCCTAAAGCTTATGTTCCGCATGCCCAGAATCAGGAGGAAAATTGAACAAGTTTTGCCATTATATACATGCAGAAACATCATCCGAATATGACTATATATGTAAATGTTGCGGTACATATCTACACGAACTATTCAAATAATGGGCCTGAGGTCATGGAGACAAAGGCTAAAGATATAATACCATCAGAAACAATTCATGTGGTCATTATTGCTTGATTTTATCGAGAAGGATGCCCTGAAAAACACTAAAAGTTGAGTAACAAACATTCACCAAGTAGAGTAGGAGATGTGCATATATATATATCACTGGATTGTCTGTTCTAGATTCGATTAGGGCGGTCGGGTAGCCAAGTGGTTAAAGCGTTCGCTCGTCACGCCGAAGACCCTGGTTCGATTCCCGACATGGGTACAATGTGTGAAGCCCATGTCTGGTGTCCCCCGCCGTGATATTGCTGGAATATTGCTAAAAGCGGCGTAAAACCATACTCACTCACTCACTCACTAGACTCGATTATTTACAGACCGCCGTCATATAGCTGGAATATTGCTGAGTGCGGCGTTAAACAACCAACCAACCAAACAACTACTAACTAACTTTCTGTTGACTCGGGTTAGAATTCGTCACCAACAATTAATGCATGCCGTGAGAGGCGACTCTGCGTGTCGTAAGAGGCAACTTACGGGATCAGGTGGTCAGGTTCGCTGACTTGGGCGATGCATGTCATCGTATCCCAATTGAGTAGATATATGCTCATGACGTGATCACTGGATTGTTTGATCCAGACACGATTATTTTCAGACCCTCGTCATAAAGCTGGAATATTGCTGAGTGCGGTGTTATGCAATAAACAAACAAACTAACGAAAAACGTACCGTAAATTTATTGCCTTATATAATTGACATCGAACTAGAAATAGGAGTTTGACATGACAAGCTATATCTAATCCAAACGGCAGTGTGTGAAACATATACAGGAATATACATCGAGGGTAGGTCGTAGCTTCACACAGACAAATATTAGTCACACATCAGCCAAATCTCCTTTGATGTTTAGCCATGCTCTAGCTTTGTAATCGCTGCTCTGTGGAGGCGTCGACAGGCAGTCAACGCGTCTTAACTGGAAACAACTCTTCGGGACTGATTTGAGTTTGGTTTGGAAATGCTAGATCAAGGGCACTGAGAAGTAAATACCGTATTTTAATTAGTAAGAGAGCATTCACACTGGATAATATACCGTATATTACTTAGTAAGATGTAGTACATCCTATCTGATTACTGATTCCATGTTTGAAAATATAACTACCAAGAGAGTTGTATGAATGATATGGCTATAAAGTTATGTAATGCTTAATTAAGTATATATATGGCTACATTTTCTATTGAAGTATTTTTTAATTACAAAATTAGGTGTAACATGACATGTGAATAGCATACCTTCCTAGGTAAAACAGAGTTTTATAATTGATTAATTAAGTTTGTATTTTTGGTCTGTTGAGTTGAAATTTTTTCTCAGATCTACAACATATTCAATTATTCTGATACAACAATTCCGATTACGCCACACAATATTACATTCAGGTTTGCATATTATAAAAAGCACTGTTCAGATGTTGATTATTTTCCCATAAATAGCTCAAAGTATTTTGGATGTATGTCATGTGTATCCCATGGGTGAAACACAATGTACAATGCAATGGAAATCTACTTCTGACAGACAAAGTGTATCTCTTGCTCGTCTGTGCGACTCACAGACTCGTTAATGATGGTGAAACCAGCTTTGGCAATCATCTCTCTTGCTAAAGGTGCACCCCATGTAGGCCCAAGTGCTGCAGAGTCAGGCTTGCGGAAGCTCTCTGGAATACACATAAATGTGCTCACAGAGTAGTAGAACATAGCTGAACCATTGGCAATGTTGCCAGTTATGCCTCCCTCTATTCCCACATCAATCATGCTGTAAATACCCCCTGGTTTCAGACACCGGTAAATCTCGTTTAAGGCTTTCTGTGGATATGTTAAGTCATGAATCACATCACGGGTTAGTATCCAATCAAACCTCTCCTTGTAGGTTTCAGTTATGGTTTCAATATTGTGTGTGTCATAAGTGACATTCTGTAGGCCCTGGTTCTTTGCTTCCTCTCTGGCTTGAACCAACGGCTCGCTTGCTACATCAGAACCAAGGAAGGTGCTGTTCTTGAATCGCGAAGCTAATTTGTTTGAAATGATCCCTGTTGCACAGCCAAATTCCGCAACCTTGATACCGGATTCTGTATAAAAAATTGAACAATTTAAGTGAGACATTAGAGTGAGTGAGTTAAATTTTAAGTCACATCGGTAATATTTCAGCCATATCGTGACTATCAATAGTTAAACATAATACATATATTGAAACTTGTATAAAAACCTGTCAACGAAGGACAGTAAAATTACTACATTCATCACAGAAAAAGATATAAAACTAGTACGGAATTATAAAAGAGAATAGCACTATACATAACGATACAAGATACAAACAGGCTATAGATCGCCAGCAGCTGAAGGTAGACCACCATGCTAGGGTCCATGGGGACTTACAGTACTTTTGCTACCTGCATGGACCCCAGTCGGATGAGACATTAGAAAGAGACCTAGAAACACTTGAGAATGGACACTCACATGTAAACCCTAACATCAACATGTAGTCGAGTAGTTTCAATATTAAACCTTATGAAGTTAAAAATAAATAATGAAAACTATCTATGCAATAGCTTCCTTTCATGTCATACATGTATGCCTTCGTTTGGTTTCCCTTGTAAAGGAAATAGTTAGACAATAGGAATGGGGTACAAAGGCATAGAACCTAGTGCGAAGTGTAACTTTTCAGTGTTTTGTTCAAACATTGCGCTAAGATTAGCGGACAGCGCCAACTCTTCTATTCCTTTTACCCACCTAATTTTGGCAGCATCAGAGGAACGGCAGACAGGATGTCTGTATCAATCATATCTTTCTTGACTTCGACCAAAATCTCTTTCATTACGTCAAAAATCTGAGGGGTTTGACTGTAGACAATTCCTGTAAATAGGAGAAGTGCAATAAAGAAAACATACTAACACCAACGCCACTAAGATAAAACTTCATGTACACAAGACTACTTCGTATTGCCACACACACACACACACACACACACACACACACACACACACACTCACACACACACTCACACTCACACTCACACGCACACAACACAGACGATGAGGTAAAAGTTGAAAGTATGTAAGGATTTGCAAAGGTGATCAAGCGACAAACAACTTTTTTTATCATAAACAAACTCAAAACTAAAAGCAGTGTCCATGGTACGACTATATCATGAATGTGTATATTAATCACTATCAAACAGACGACTGGAGGGACGAGAGAATAGCATACGATGGCGCAGAAACATACCACTTAGAAGAAGCCACGGGCAGGGTATATGTTTGTGTTTTGTTTTTGTTTGACGAGACACTCAGCAATATTCCACCCATATGACGGTACAAATAATTCGAGTTTGGCCAAGACAATTTAGTGATTGACATCAGGGACATCGATCGTCTCAATGGGATACGATAACATGCATCAAGCCGCTTGTTTGGGTCTGACAAATAGTGAAGATTCCAGATGTTTGCGAAAAGGTGAGGTTATTCTTCCCCACCACTAGCACCCATTAAAACATATGTTCACCAGGAAATACACAGGAACATGGCACAAGTCAAACATTGAATTTCTTTGATTATGAGAAGATACACTTCACTAACAACAGTTTCAATTATTTCAAAAAGTTGAATCACTTTCTACATGTTGATTAACTTATGATCAATTTCTAAGCAGGAATACACCTGTTTCTCATGATCAATACCATATCGGATTCCTCTTGGGGAGAACTGACAACACTTATATTCCAGACATGTCCGTCGATTGGAAACTCTACTTAAACGTGACTGTGTTTCATTCTACATGTACAGTCTTAACAGGCTTACAACTCATGTCGAGAAATAGGAATGTAAATAATTTTATCATCCAAAATTATTGAATTTCTTTGGAAATATGTTTTGTTACTGATGTGCCGAATTTAGAAATTTCTTCAATATAAAATAAAATTGTTTAAAAGCTTTACTAAAATTCAATTTCGTATCCCTGATCAAACAGCTTTTGACCATATCATATGGTGCTCACATATAAGCATAGTCGTATGGAGTTTAATGTGAAATGTCTACACCAGAGAAAATCAGTCAACACGAAACGGATTTCATTGAGCGTAAAAGTGAAAGAGTTATGAAAATTATATGAATGTACCCCTGAATATCTTGAGATGTTGAGTCATCCCCAGTTAACTTAAGTTGTTGAGTCTTGTTGAGATTTTTCTAACAGTGAATATTTTTTGCATATAACTAAATATGAAACAAGGCGGTTACATGTCTCTTTCTATCTCTACCTCAAGTGGGTCAACTTCAGATGACATGTGCTTTAAGTTTTGACAAATTGCCCAGAACTTTTGAAAATAGCTAACAACGTTTGGGTATTCATTTTGAAACGGTAGATTTTCCTGTAGGACCTTCATGTTGACAACGGAAAACCCTCAGATACCCAAGACACAATAAACACAAACAATACCCCTTCTTTCGTTGATACCACATTAAAGTTAGTTTTGTCGACAGACAAATATAGCAACGATTTATAGAACTGGTTCAATGATTGTATGAATTTAACACATCGCTACTTTGGGTGCACCAACCTATGAAATTTAGAGGTGCATATGATTTATTTTAACCAAGCAATGCAGGATTACCTCGAGTGACAAGTGAAACTGGATATTTGACATATTTTATTTAACTACAAAAGGGGGACACACAAATGAATCGCATAAAACTATGAACCTATAGCTAATATATCTTCTTTGTATCTACCTCACATCCTTTAGAATATGATTAAATGGTATTTTGAATTGAATTGTATTGAACTTATTAAAGAAGATTATGAATATATGGACAATATGTTAATGAGTAATCCTTTGTTATTTGTGCCTGAGAAGGAATAGAAATTATTATTATTGATTATGAGAAGATACACTTCACTAACAACAGTTTCAATTATTTCAAAAAGTTGAATCACTTTCTACATGTTGATTAACTTATGATCAATTTCTAAGCAGGAATACACCTGTTTCTCATGATCAATACCATATCGGATTCCTCTTGGGGAGAACTGACAACACTTATATTCCAGACATGTCCGTCGATTGGAAACTCTACTTAAACGTGACTGTGTTTCATTCTACATGTACAGTCTTAACAGGCTTACAACTCATGTCGAGAAATGGGAATGTAAATAATTTTATCATCCAAAACTGGCTCCCACAGGAGATATCGCTTGGATGAGATCAAGCGATATCTACACTGTAGATATCGCTGCAATGAAATTACATCACAATGCTTTGCAGACCATTGTGACGTCACTGGTTACCATGACGTCACAATCAAATGACATTACTAATGGCTCTGCTACTGAAGCTGTTTGCAGTACTTTTTACACTGAAGACACTGCTAATTACTGTCTACAAATTGAAAAAGTTGAAAGAATGATGTTGGATGATAAATAAAATCTCACCCGAGTGTCTTTTGATATCAAACATATCAACACTCGTTGATAAAAGTGGCAAAAATCCTCGGCAAGCCTCGGAATTTTTCCACTTTTATCAACTCGTGTTGATATATTTGATATCAAAAGACACTCGGTTGAGATTCTCTATGTCTTCGCATTATATTGTTGAAATTAGTTTGCTGAGTGAATGTACAAAGTCCTTACCACCAGGGTTCCGTAGTTGAGCACATTCCTTGACACTGGCATGTCTCAAACCCATCGGTGGCAAAACCCTGGAAAGCACAGATATTGCTTTGAATGTGCCCTTGCGGTCATCTGGAACATGGAACTGGGTGGAGGAGTCGTCCACGCTGATGACCTCCCCGACAGCCAGAGAACCCAGGATCTCACGCACATACCTGTTGAAACAAATAATTATCATTAAACAAATTACTAATTTCTTTCGCAAACGTGCTCAGACTTCATAACGGTATATACCTGTTACAGTATAACCTCGATAGTCCAGACCGTACCTTTATCATTGGTATGGATTAATGTCGCTTTCCCTGTAGAAGACGTTCAGGGCTCATGTTTATGCAGATTCTTAAACAATCGAGGTCTCGGACTTCTTGAGTAAAGCTTAAAGGGGAAGTGTACACGCAAAAATCACTTTCTTTCTTTTTCTAAACAAAACGCAATTTTAGAATTAATTAGTATCTGTGTTTGAAAATATACACTCATTTTTTTCACAGTGAAAGTAGGAAGCTCACAATAGTGTGAAAATGATATGCCGTCATGAGGCCTTCTTTTTTCGAGCTAAACTGGCCTGAGTTATCCCCCTTAGATTATGACGTAATTGGTGCCAATTCAACTGGGTCCCTGTCTATTCTCAACGCAAAAGATATCAAGTACCAGTTTGCGGTAAAACAACATGGCCTACGACACACTCCGGCGCAGTGGTGACTCAGCATAACACTATTCTGGCTGGCATCTGAGACGCTAGAATCACAAACCTGGACCTACACCACGTGAAGCGGCTCTAACAAAGCATAATGACGTCATAATGTTTATCAATTGGCACCAATGACGTCATATTGCAAGGGGCATAAGCCATGGTGTTTTTGTTGTGGAAATAGAACACTTGGTAAATGTGAAAAATATAAATCGTTTTAATGCGAAAAATATGTTAATTAATTGTGATATTTTTATATTTTTGTCTATGACACTTCTAGGTTAACACTTTTAATGTGGAAAAAGTACAAGAAAATTAGGTGCATTTCCGTGTGAACTTGCCCTTTAAATAGAATATGTAAGAGATGGGCCCCGACTATCAATTAATGTCTATCAATGTTGTTACCAGTTTGTCGGGGCGGTCGGGTAGCCTAGTGGTCAAAGCGTTCGCTCGTCACGAAGACCCGGGCTCGATTCCCGACATGGGTACAATGTGTGAAGCCCATTTCTGGTGTCCCCCGCTGTGATATTGCTGGAATATTGCTAAAAGCGGCGTAAAACCATACTCGCTCACTGTTACCGGTTTGTCACTGCTTCATTATTACATGGTGTTTACCTTTCTCTGAGGTTCAGTTTGTCAGCCACCTGCTGTGAGGTGAGTGGGCTTTGCGCTTCCACCAGTATCTGCACGACGCCCAACTCCTTTGCCAGGGACAGGTTTAACATGACACCACTGGCGCCGAAATGGTTCATCATCTTCTTGTGGTAATCCGACATCGTCTCAAATTGAATTGCTTGCGGTGAACCCTGCAGATACAGTCATGAGTATAAGTTTGTTTGTTTGTTGTTTAACGCCGCACTCAGCAATATGCCAGCTATATGACGGCGGTCTGTAAAATAATCGAGTCTGGACCAGACAATCCAGTGATAGACATCATGAGCATCGATCTAAGCAATTGGGATCGATGACATGTATCAACCAAGTCAGCGAGCCTGACCACCCGATCCCGTTAGTCGCCTTTTACGACAAGCATAGTCGTCTTTCAGATACTTCTGCAACACTGTGTGTCCCAACGGACAGGAAATACTGCTGATAGCCTCTGGTCAACTCAGCCGCGCTACCGCAGGATGTTCGTCCAACTCTGCAGGGGGCATTCTCAGTGGCTTCAAACGCCCTGAAATGTTTTCGCCTTGCCCCCAAGATGGTGGACAAGTGAAATCGTATGATATTTGGGCTATTTTAGGTCGCGATCTCTTTTTTGATTACCCAATAAAGTCAATTCAAAGTATACGGTTGTGAAGAAGCTTACAACTTTGTAACACTTATTCATCTCATTCCAATAGAGCTACTCGTGCTCACATAAAGTTGTAGTTATTATGTCACTGTTTTATTTCTTTAAAAATATATTACGTGTTCATGAATAACAATTAAGATGAACATTCAATTTCCGATACAAGTAAATGAATAAGTGTGTTTTACGCCACAATCAGTCAAAGACCAACGTTGTCTGGTTTGATGACATTGTGTACACCGTATCCCCATTTAAGCCTCCACTGTGCGTATTCCTGGTGAAGAAAAGGGCCCATGTACCTGGGAATCTAATTAATACATTCATGCGCGGCATTCGTTACCTTAAGAAGATCATTGTTAACATGCTTATCCAACTCGAACTACCATCCCGCCGAAGATGAATTTTGATTTACCAATCCCTGAATTGAGAAGACGTGCGTTACGAAGCTCATCCAAGTCGTCATCAATATCCGTAAATGTCTGTGATATTATTACCCATCAAAAGCCGAATATATTTATTGAGCTTTCTTGACGACAAATGTCATAACTGGGATAACACTTTCTTAGTAAAGTACAGATTCTCGTACTTTTTTGGGTTGACTCCCGTCCGGGATTTCAGCCCACAATGTGAGTGAGGCACCCAATCGCCAGCACACAAGTCAGCGATCTAACCCATTCTCAGTAAACTACATATTCTCGTAATTTTTAGGGTTGATATAATAGACGTTGATGGACAAATTAAAGCCAAAACTTAACTTATGAATGATTGGTAATGGGCAATGGACAATGGGCAAACGGGAGACCGGGGTAATCAGCGCTAATTATCTGTTGGCTTCCCTTGTTACGTTTCCTTCTTTGCTATCTTTTTACTTTTGTTGTTCTTACAGGTACATATATATGTTCTCTGCCTCATAGAATTTATTCACCCGATGAAGGAGTGAGTATATACACCGAAACGTTGTGTTCCTCATAATAAAGACGTTGACGTTCATAATTTTTTCCTTATGTGTATCACTTCTTAATGCCCTTCAAAGACTCAATCTAGCTTTGTTTTTAAATGTGGAGATATTTGCTTAGAATATAATATGGTCATGCCTATAAACATTTGGGTCTTTGTCTACTTGAGTATTTAAACATAAATTTTATAGCTGATGACATTGCTAAATCTGCAGGAATGCAGTACACGTCATAGCAAGCTGTGATCTTTATTCACACTTTAGATATTCGAAATGGAGATCTGTAAGTTTATCGTAATCTACCTCCTGACCAGTTGAACTTCTTAGTGCATTCTGATGCCATTGGAAAATTCCAGGCTGCCCTTCTTTCTGTGGTGTTTTGACGAATGAAATCTATTGCGTTATGATAATCTCTGTTTGCTGATATTTAATATGTACATATTGTAAAATATTTACGATATTTTAAACGTGTAATTCGATGCATGCAATGCAATGTAAACATAAGTGCGGATGCACGAAGGCGGTTATAGTCATAGTTATAGTGCGATGGATATAGGGGAATGGTAGGAGGGTGAATGTATGTAAGAACGAATACCGATACATGAGGACGGATATAGTTATTGTTCGATGGATGTTGGGGAATGGTGGGAGGATGGACTATGTATGTAAGCATGCGCATGGATCCATGATGGCTGACGTAGACATATTGGTGGGGAAAGAAGAATGCGATGTGTGTGTGTGTGTGTGTGTGTGTGTGTGCGCGCGCGTGCGTGCATGCGTTGTGATACGAGGGTTGGCGAACATGTTGTGAGATGATTGTGTAAGTAAGTTGAGTGGGTGAAGATGTGGCAGGTATGAGTATTGATACATGCAGAGTTGGGGTTGGGGGACATGGTGTGCCTGTTCTGATGTCTTTTGTTTCACTCACTTGTAGGGTTTTCTTTTACTCAAAAAAATGTGTTACGGATTTTAATGACTGAAAATGTAGTGTCATACTGACCGGGCATTCTACATATCTATTCGAACTACGTAGCCATGTTTATGCTGTACAATTCTTCTACTTCTTCTTCTTCACACACACACAAACACACACACACACACACACACACACACACACACACACACACACACACACACACACACACACACACACACACAGAGAGAGAGACACAGAGAGACACACACACACATTCACATTAATTGTTTCATTAAATGTATCATCGAGTATCAGTAAGAAACTAGAAATAACTGCCTTTGTTCTGTAAATCTCACCAAGTTTCAGCTTTCGCCTCTTCCTTTGTGGAATGAGGTTTCACATTTGTAAAATGATCTCTCTTATCTGTCTGTACCATCAACTGTGCCCTCACCCCCTGCAGTTTTCCCGTCCCATATTGCCAAGCAGGTCACCCACAAGAAGGAATACGGCCCTCCCTCATTCCAGTTGTACCGTGCCTAGCACAATATGTTGTGGTGCCTTGCTGTGGCCAAACATTTTGTAACAATTTGGCAAACTTTGATATGTAAACAGCAAATATAATTCAGTTTTATTTCAACAAAAACGGAAAAAAATCCTACTTATTTTGTGGATACCATAACAATAAATCAAACCAATAGATCGTTTGAGCAAGCATGAATATCACAAATATTTAGCAAGCCGATAGTCATAATTCCCACTGTTGGTCCAAAGTGAAATGTTCTTCATGAATACTGTAAATCGTGAAATTAACGCAATAATAAGTCAGCAGATTAATGCGAGTATAGAACCCTGGCTTAAAATGCGTCATGACATTTATGAGAGTAGCCTTTCAAAAATCACCGTAGACTCACAATTCAATAATGTAGTATTGGCTGATAGACGTTCGACCGAATAGTATCATTTGTTAACTTCAACTTTTCATCTAATTTCCATTAATGTATGTTACATAGTTAATATGTTCATGGGTTTCATCACTGAATATATAGTGTGGAGGACTACTTCAGTTGAGGATAAGTAACATAAATAATGATATTATTATGATATTATCATTATTATTCCTTCAGATTATTAAAAAAAGTTATTATGTTTTCATATTAAACATAGAGATAGAGGTATGGAGATTGTGGAAGATATTTTTAGCACAGGAATTGTTAACATCATACCTAAAGATATTATGTTTTGTTTGTTTGTTGTTTAATGCCAAACGCAGCATCCTAAGGATATTACAACATACATACATTTAGGTTCAGTTGTATTTTTAAATTTGTATTATTTTGCCACTGTTACAGAGACCTGATAAGTGATATAATAATGTATAGTCGCTATTCTTAAAAGTATGATTATGTTAGATTTATCAACCAGAAATATTGCACACCAAAGGATAATCATATTTCATGACACTATTCTACGTCGAAGTCAACGATATTTGTGTATGCTATTGCTACATGATTGGCTATGACACGGATACGTCATGATAAAGCAATGAGAAATTGATATTTGATGATATAAGATAGCTACGCGATAAATCGCAAAGAACAAAGAATGAAGCGATATTTATTTCACGATAAAACATTGTTCTATCATGATGTCATTTATGGAGATTCGAACATGCACTCGCAACTTGAAAACGTCGTAAATTTGACCTTATTTTTTAGAGGTATGTGTCTAGTGTGTTGTTTCCAATAGATGTAGCTGGGGAAGGTAGATAAAGGCAGTGCATCCGAAAGTGAGAGCGAAATGGCAATCGGTATTGGGAGAAAAGGTACAGATAATCGACGAGAAAATTGTGAGAATATGACCAAAGACCAAAAGAAAAACCAAATTCGAACCCTCCTGTTCATAAAATGGATTTATCTGGCATGGCCGCGGTCGGATTCTATTCAAGGAGTCATCGTTATTTAAGTACGGGTAAATATTTAAAACGTGTACTTTTTCCTAATTTAACATCCTTAAAAGAGGCTGTAAATAATGTGGATATCTCATATAGAAATAAACGAGTCGTGGTCGTTGTTTATCGTACAATAAACAACTCCCACTCGTCGTTTGTTTCTTAATTACATGACCATATACACTAACATTATATCTTTTCATGTTTATCAGTCAACCAAAGCGACATAAGCATTTCCATTACCATAAGAAACCCTTGCCAAAAGTAGCGCCAACTGCACGATTACGACAAGACCAGGAGCATGTTTCATGATTCACCATAAAAATGATGACACTGGGTGCTCGCAAAAACGCGAACACTAGTGGCACCCGCAAAGGCAAGCAAATTGTTCACCCGAAAAGGCAGAGAATTGCATCAGACATCATTTTGGTCATTGATACGTCAAACCTGGAAATGCCGTCTACACGTCCAACACAAAGCCCAAGCAAGGACCCTAATCCTTTATACCCGCCCAAAGTTCTGTTAATTACATAGTTTTTACATTTTCCCCTATACGGTTTTAAGGGTTGGGTTATCACGAACATATTTGAATATATAGAACAGCTGTACTTGCTTGTCTTTATACTTAAAAGCATCAGGTTTGTCTGTCATACAGATCCCGAAACAAATATGTCCAATACAGCCAAATATTTGGCA